ATACCAAGATATGGACAAAACTAAAGTAAGAATAAAACTAAAAGATTTTTGGAACCAGTTTATCAATTAAGAAAATGCAATGAAATGGAACTGTGATTATAATGTCTCATAGAATATTTGTGTTGAAAATGGAAGAGTAAAGCAGAGAGAGTAAGGATCATTTGATATAATTTTGTGATTAGGAAGTCAAAGAGGGACGTGTTACTATATCGTAGGGAGAGGGACGAGAAAGCTTTTAAAGAGCAACCTTTTTTTCCCTCACTAAATAAATCCTTGAGGGTTGGATCTTCTACCAAATACAACCGAAATGACTCCCGTTATATATTTTTCTTTTATAAGATTTGAATAAATTCTCATATGCTTAGAGAGGTATCATTTCCTTAATTGTTAGGTCAGTTCACGCGCGTGCAAATAAGCACTGGTCGCAACAACGAGAGAATAGAACTTTTTATGAATAAAATAATATTAAAAATGTGTATATCCACATTCAATAATATTAGATAACATAGAAAAGAAAAAAAGGTAAAATAAAAACGATATGAAAGATATAAAATTCACGAGAATGAGCAATAATTCTTGTTTAATTGAAAGAACATTTAAGAATAACAAGTCACAATGAATCAACTAGTATATTCTTCTACTTTATGTTACTTGAATAACACGAAAATTTTTACACAATATATAATTATAATCATAGACCATGATATTATTCAACCAAGTTTATATTAATACAAAACAAAAATTGAATCTAAGTAACAAGAGATGACTCTATACATGCTCAATAATTCTTTTAATATCTTTTCATTTAATTCACTGTAATTTCTTTAAAGCATATTCTCCAACCAAATTTACATCAATTTGTTCATGAACGCATTTTGCATTCCAAAAATTAATTTACTGTTTAAACTAAAATATTTATGCAACAAATAGTAAAACTTCAAATTTTCCTTCTTTTTTTTTTTTATAAAAAAAATATATATATATAGATATAGATTAATTAAAAGTAAATGGAGTAAGCGTGTAATACGGTTTTGTGATGGAATTGGGATTCAAATCAATCTGCAATTACTACTTACTGTTAAAGTATTAACATTTATGATTCCTTAATTATGATTTAAACGTTGTTAGTTTTGACTAGTAATAATAACTTTCTTTTTAATTAATTGGAGCATTGAATATTAATTAATTACAGCAATTAATATTTTTCAAACACCATATATGCGTGTTCCCTTCCAACAGGTAATAAACCCATGCATGCAGCATAACCTACGATCAGCGTAGGACCCATTTTGAGCCCACCGCCAATCTCCCCCACGCGCCCCTCCTGATTTGATGTACCCTAAAAGCCACGTCATGGGTCCCACGTGACACCACATGATTAACATCATCAACTCATGATTTCCTCCCCCCGCGCGTGGCCTACAACACCATGTGGGACCCCCCCCCCCCAACACCCAGCGTAGCAGCCTTTCCTGCAGTCAACGGTCAACCGCCGAGAAAGCCGCTTTTTAAGCCAAGTTAATAATGCCTTTAACCCATTGGTTTAAAAAGGTTTAAACACCCTCTTACTTTTAACCACGGTTAAAAATCTAAACCCATCTGACACAAGTCATCATTGAATCTACACCCACAGTCTCTTTATATATATATATATATATATATATCTGTTTATATACACTCGGCCTACCCTTCCGCCGTATGTACTGCTGCATAGAGGAGAAATGGCTGTGACTCTGTGACTCTACCTGCTCAAATCCTTTCTTTCCATCTTGTTTTTTCGCCGTCCAAACACCAGAAGAGAACGAGTTTGGTTGGTTTTGTTTGAAAGGATAATATAGACGGATAAAAGAAACGTTGGGAGAATATGGGTGAGAGAGACGATGATCTGGGATTGAGTTTAAGCTTGGGGGGTGCGCTAAACGAGTCATCTCTCAAGTTGAATCTCATGACACCTTTGGCGTCTAACCAACAAAAGACTATATGGAATGAACTGTTTCACTCATCTGGTATGTTTTCTTCCCCTTATTCTGGAAACGGGTTTAATCTGATCTTATGATTTTTCCGCCGTTGATGTGCTAGTTCTTCTGTCCAACTTCTTTTATATGAACTCCGTCATCTGTTTTCAAGTGATTTCGTGCAGATCTGGTGGAATCCATATCTCGTTTTAATCTCATATATCATATAATTATATCATTCCATTTCAACCGGGAATATTTCTTATCAAATATTTATTAGTCATTGCGAGAAAATTTAAGCATGAAAGAGTTCTATTATGATGAGTTTTGGATGTTGTGGACTCGTGCTATTGCATTCACTGAAGCGTGTTATGAAATACAAATGCCATTGGTTTTCAATTAAATTACCGAAATGCCATAAATTCAGAGGGCAACGCAGATGGGAGACCATCATTTCGTGGTATAGACGTGAACAGAGTTCCATCGGCTGTGGAGTATGAGGAGGAGACCGGAGTTTCATCGCCCAACAGCACTGTGTCTAGCATAAGTGGGAAGCGAAGCGAGAGGGAGGTCATAGGAGAAGAGAATGAGGCTGAAAGGACTTCTTGCTCGCGCGGCAGTGACGATGAAGACGGCGGCAATGGCGACGCTTCCAGGAAGAAACTCAGATTATCCAAAGAGCAGTCAATGGTGCTGGAGGAGACATTCAAGGAGCACAGCACTCTTAATCCCGTGAGTTGAATTTCGGTTCAGGATTTAGGGCTTGTTTTAATGGGATTTTGATTTTGATTTTGACTTCGAATTTTTTGGTGTATTCAGAAGCAGAAATTGGCGTTGGCAAAGCAGTTGAATCTGAGGCCGAGGCAAGTGGAGGTGTGGTTCCAGAACAGGAGGGCAAGGTAAGATACATTAAATTAAACATTAATGGTGGTGTGATAGATGGAATCGTCGTTTTCATCTAGGAAGATTTGGTAGGATTTTATAGCCAGCTTTTTAATGATTTGTTTGAACTTAAGAAATTGATTGTGAGGTTGCCTAATTTGTTAGCTTCCCTTGAATAACTCTAGTTAAAAAGGGATTTAAAATATCCAAACTAAACATTATTTATTTAATATGGTAAAACCCTTTTTCCATGACAGAAATTTGGGTTAATTGGGCACTCTAAATTTTATTTTAGAAGAATATACATGCTCAGGTGGTGTGTGTGTGTGTATAAATATTTGGTCAATTGGATTGTTGCGGGAACACTTGGGGTTATGAACTTTGGGCTTGGGCTTGGGATTTTTTTTTTTTTTTTGATGGGTGTGAGAAGGGATGATTTGTGTGTAGGGGGGATACGATCAGGAATTATTAAAAGATTGGTGTGAATACATCTTTTCGGGTCATCACTACATATATGGGTTGGGTGGGGGGTGATTTTGAGAAGTTTATTAATGTTATAACCGAGATGTAAATATTTTGTACATGAATGTCCTCTTAGACCTCATACACTTGATGCATATTCCTTTTTTTATCTCCGAAAGAAATTTAGAAGAATATTGATAGAAGAGAATGAATTTGGTTGGTGCCAGAACCAAGTTGAAGCAAACAGAAGTTGACTGCGAGTACCTAAAGAGGTGTTGTGAGAATCTAACAGAGGAGAACAGGCGTCTACAGAAGGAAGTGCAGGAACTGCGAGCACTCAAACTTTCTCCACATCTCTACATGCACATGACTCCTCCCACTACTCTCACTATGTGCCCATCTTGCGAGCGAGTTGCAGTTTCCTCCTCATCATCCTCGGCATCTTCCGCAGCCGCCACGACTGGACCCAGTTCTCAACGCTCCGTGCCCATTAGCCCATGGCCAGCTATTCCCAACCATCGTCCTTAGTTGCTCATTATCAGATTGAACGTTGATAATTTTGGCTTCTTTCTTGGTTTGATTAGAGAAAGAAGAAAAAAGGGTGTTGTAAAGGGTGAAGAAGTGGGGAAGGAATTTCATGTTTGTAGTAAGTCTTTTAAATTCTGTTTTGTGATTTGACATGAAGAAAGGTGATGGATAATTTTTGGGAGATTTTAATTTCTAGGAAATAATTATGTTGTAACAAGAAAAAGGATATTTTGGTTGTCTTCTTTAATTTTTTCCATGATCGATTTATTATATTGTTTTACTAGATGGTAATATATTCTAAGCTTATATAAAATAGTTTATTTATCTAGTTTTCTAGATTGCTTGAAAATTTTTTTTGTTATTTTTTTTTAAAAATAAAAACTTTGATTAAATTTTTAAGGTCCCGTAATTTTTTGAAAATATAATAAATTTATTAAAATTTAATTATATTATGTAATAGTTCGAATTTCAATAACAGACGTTAACATAATATTTTCAATTAATGGAATAGATAAATAATAAATATACAGCAGAATTACGTTTTAATACATATTTTTTATGATTAGATAATTATTTATTTACACATAATCATCGAGACATCTAAATTAATTTATAATATTTGACTTTCTGAGGATGAGTTTTACGAGTTCACTAAACAAAATAATTTTATAACAGAGATTTACGTACATACATTCACGCAATGTGTAAAATACAATAATATTTATAATCAAGAAAACATCACAATCAAAATATATAACAAAACAGAATTCATCACACGAAACATATTTTAATCATCACTCTTATAACTTAATCTTGTTCTTATTTAAAATCAAACTTACACTCTAAATATCACATCTAAGATTTCATCGCGCGACAAGATGCGAAATGGATCCTCCCATCATATGGATAATACACACACAAATTTTACAATAGTTACAGTAGGTACGTTTGCTAGGTGACCCACTCACAAACACCTATTTACGTTTGGAGTAGGTTTCAAACTCTATCCATGTCCAAGTTTACCATGCCTGCTGAACTTTAACTACACACGCACCTTCCCCTTCTCGATTCAGACTAAACGAGTAGGTACTTAGGGTTCATATACTCTACACTCTTTCCAAATCTTTTTCATTTCTAATTCATTTATTTCCTACATAAAGATCTTAATTTCTATACATAATTAAACACAAAAACATACATACAAAATACACAATATCATCGCGCACATAAGGGCCATATGTTTCAAAACGCTTTTTGAATCATCCTGTACCAAATCACACAGCCAACACATGATATTCAAATTTCTCGCGCAACTGTACTAGATCATACAATAAGTACAGTGCACCGTACATTTGAACTACATCACACAAGTTAGTGTAGTATACCCAAATTCTACATGCACATACTGGATATATATTTCACATATATAATATACGTACACACATATTAATACACACACACACACATATATTACAATGCAGACATGTATCTTTACTATATGTATCAAACAGAATATATATTTATATTCACACATACATACACACACAATTTCCACACATACATACGCACACGTTCATACTTAAACACGTACACACAATCACACATAATATATCATATACATATTTATTCATATATTTGTTATTATCAATTTTGTTTTTATTAATTCATATCATATTCATCGTATATTTTTATATATATACACACACATGCATAACAACATATATATATACACTACATAAACACAAATAAATACAAATTATACATACTAATTATATTCTTATTATACTATACATAAATTTAAACATTCACACATAATGCACTATATATATACATATTTACATAAATATATAATTTATGTATCTGTATAGAATACACATAATTCTTATCTATAGTGTGATCAAGAAAGTTTTGAAAATCCTTTCTGCCTCGTCATACAATTCTCTTAAAATCCAGATATCATTTAGATACTTTTTCTCGTTTATAATAAAAATATATATATTAAATTATGAATAATTTTAAAAACTATATTATGTGCAATTAAGAATGAATTTGACATTCGGATAGGCAGTCCTGGTTGCTAGTGTCACCATGCTTAATTGTTTATGTAAATTAGAGTAAACTAGGGGATACTACTGTATCGAACAGCCACTCTTAATCCTGAATTTGAATGTCACCGAAAATACCAGGCACTGATGATCGAATCAGCAGGCGTTGTCGCATGCAGCGCACCAAGATCATATTTGGTCATCACCCTTTCATTTTTCTTTCTTATTTTAATTTATTTTTTTTCCTTTTCTTTCATTTTATTTTTTTTCTTTTATTCTTTTTTTTTTCTTGTTTTTTTTTCTCTTTTTCTCTTTTTTTTTTCCTTTTCTTTTCTTTATCTTTTCTTTTTTTTTTTTCTTTTCCCTTTTTCCTTCCTTATTCTTCTTCCTCTTTTCCCGTAGCTTCCTTTTTTTTTTTTTTTTTTTTCTCTTCTTCTTCTTCTTC